TCCCGATCTACTGAGCCGACCTGTGACAGTCTCATTGTCACAGGTCGGCTAGAACTATGAGGGGAGTGACAAGCCCCTCCCCCCCCCCTCATAGTTCTCCTTTTAAAGAATTGCCACTTTTTTAGTAAAGGAAACACAAATTGCGCCACCATCCTCCTCCTTTTCTAGCTCATGGAAATGACTTTTTGCTCTCCATCTGATTTATAACGCTTTGTGGCAACTGATGTAATCCGAGGGCGCTTTGGTTTACGGAACTGCCCCCCAGAAAACGAATGCGTGCTGGGTGCTCCGCTATCCCCCGTAGTCCGCACAGAGCCCGAGGCCAAATTTCAGGCATCCCCAGCTCTGTCCTTACTGAGGTGACACTGAAATTGATAAGCCTAACGGGCAGGGCTCTGAGGGTGCAATGCTTCCTACTGAGACTGATCATGTGCGGTCCCGCCAACTTAGCAGTCTGCCTGAGGAGTTTAGTGCTCCAGTCAGTCCAGAAAAACAAAGTGAAAGCGTCTGTTTATATCTAACCCCAAAAGCAAAAATATAATGTATTGCAGCTACCCAGTCCTTAGATGTGTTGGCTGCATTAGTTTTCTCTTTTCAGGCTTCTTTCCCTTTTTTTTTTTTTTTCACCTGGTGATCCTGCCAGTAACACACTTCCTGTTCTAGAGTAGCACACACTGCACTGTTCATCAGTCACTGCACCAGGACAGACAGGCAATCGCATTCTGTTCAGATCGCATTCATTGTCCATGTGATCTTGGGGAGGTGGGAGCATGATGCAGCCTTTTTAAATAGCAGGCCCAGTGTTGTCACCCTCCTAGAGTGCTGCCATATTCCAACGCAAGAGGGGTGGGAGGGATCACGGCATTGTGTGTGTGTGTGTTATATTTTGTGTTGTCATTGTGCGGTGAAATTGCCTCCTTTTTATGTTCCTCGGCCATTTAATAACCTGCAGCTTCTGCTCCCTGTTTTGCAGGATCGTCCATAAGCAGCGAGTCTTCCCCCGTCTCCTCACCGGCAACCAACCACAGCTCTCCTGCCAGCACGCCAAAAAGGGGTCCGATGGGGCCGATCATCGTGCCCCCTGGTGGACACACTGTGCCGAACACACCGCCCGTCGTGACTATTGCACCAACCAAGACCGTGAATGGAGTGTGGAGGAGCGAGGCCCGACAGGTAAGAGGCGCATCTTCCGGTGAGGTGTAAACCATATGGCCAAAAGTTTGTGAACGCCTGACCAGCACATGGACCCTCCTCCGAATGGGGGGTCTCCAGTGAAGGGTCTGTTCATTCTACATCGTACAAAGACATTGTATACAATTGTGATCTTCTAACATTGAGGTCACAGTCTGCACAAAGCCAGCTCCATACAGACACGGTGTGACCAGTTTGGTGGAGGAACTCTGGTGTCCTGCACAGAGCCCTGACCTCAAACCTACTGAACACCTATGGGATGAATGGGAACATTGTTAGCCAGGTCTTCTCATCCACCATCAGTACCTGACCTCGCACATGGGACAAATTCCCACAGACACCCCCCCAAATCCTTGTGAAGTTCACAGAAGAGTGGAGGATGGTATAGCCATGAAGGGGGCAAATCCATATTGATGGCCATGGCTAAGGGAGGGACGGCGGACTCCATATTGATGGCCATGGGAGGGCGGGCCTAATCCATATTGATGGCCATGGGAGGGAGGCCGGGCCCCATGTTGATGGCCATGGGAGGGAGGGTGGATATTGATGGCCATGGGAGGGAGGGCGGATATTGATGGCCATGGTTTTGGATTGGGATATCCCACAAGCTCATATTGCTGTGGTCCGGTGTCGTCAAACTTTTGGCCATATAATGTACTTGTGCAATTATGATATTGATGTAATACATATAAATATCATGCACAGTGACGGGCAGAACATACATGTTGGCCAATGGAAAAGACTCTTTGTTCTAAAGTGACCTTTTTGTAATTTTTTTTTTTTTTTAAGGGATCGGGCATCCTT